TCCTTTCTTAAATTTTTTTTTTATTATCCTTTATTTTTTTTTTTCAACTAATTGGTATATGTTTTCTAAATTTTTTTTTTTTTTTTTTCTTTTTTTTTTTTTTTTTTTTTTTTTTTTTTTTTGACTTTTGTTTTTAGCTTTGTTCTTCCGTTCAACAGCCTAGAGAACCAATTCCGCTCCATCTAGAAGCCAGGGGGGTAGAGGAGGTAACTAATTGCGGAGTTGCAGGGTTTCAGCTGCAACCTGGTCATTTCAGTGCATCATTCTCTGCTCCCTTTCTTCTTGTAGCTCACTCTCTCTGCCCTCTCTCTGTCCTCTCCCTACCGTTCTGTCGTTCTACCACTTTGGCTATCTTCCCGCGCAATGTCCAAATTATACGCTGTTGCAGGACCCGTGCATGGGCACTGCAGTTTTCGGGGTTTTTAGATTGAAAATTTTCTGCTATTTTCTGATTTCTCTCTCTGTCACCGACTTTTCCTCTTCAAACAAAGTGAAACATGTTCCATCGGCGTAAAAGGGAAAAGAATCAAAATTAAACTTTGATTGAGAAAAATAATGTGCTTGGTGTTCGAAGGGGCCCGTAGTCATTCCATTTTTTTACAGGACGATATTGGGTTTCTGTGGCGGAATGTTGAACGCTAGTAAACACCATTCAAAATGCAAAATTGGAGGTGGACAGAGAACGTGAGCTTCAGCGCTGCACTGAGAACAAAAGAGACCCCGCCGACCTATGCTCTATGCTCCATGCTCTATGCTTTAAGACAGTCAGGTTCCCACAGAACTGCATAGAAATGCACTTCAACTGCACAATAAAAATTATATGCATGAACTCTGCGCCAAAGCATGCCATGCATGTAATCAACAGCTGCGCTACCTGCAAACGCATTATCACGTGATTGACCATATCACGTGACTGTATATGGGTCGCATCGACCTGTAGACTGATCAAGGGCCATCACTTGTAACTCTTGGCAGGCCCTGGCGGTGCTAATTGGTACCTATCAACTTGTAATCGCTTTTCAGAGGATGGCAGGTTCATTATTGCTAGCATGGCAGGTCAAAAACAAGCGTTGTCTTGTCATTGGAGGTGGTGATGTTGCCTTGAGTCGAGTCCATCACATGATCAAAGCAGAAGCAAGCATCACTGTAGTCACTGGTACGGGGAATGTCCACCCAGAAATCATAGAGCTTCACTCCAAGGGGTTGATCTACCAACTTCTTGAAAGAGATTTTCGTACGGAGGATCTTTCGATGTATGAAAAGCCAAGTAATCTCAATCCACAGCTCGTTAAAGTTTCCGAAATACTAAGTGCATCGCAGTTCGAAGAAATCCGCCAAGCTGTCCAAGACCAGGTATTCGCTGTGGTGTGCTGCTGCATAGATGATTACGATCTCTCTACTCAGATCTATTATCAATGTAAGTTTCTCAGGTTACCTGTAAATATAGCGGACAAACCACCAATGTGTGATTTTTACTTTGGGAGTATGTACAATCAGGATAACTTACAGATCATGATCAGTACGAATGGCATGTCTCCGCGGTTGCTGAAGCTCATCAAGGACAATATCGCCCGTCAATTTGACGGAATCGACTTAAACAGGGCCATAGAGAACCTAGGTTTACTTCGAGCAAGATTGAGGGCATTGGTGATAACCAAGGACGACTTGACAAGCATCGATGAGCGCATGCAGTGGATCAAGAGTGTAACAGACTACTTTTCAATTAGACAGTGGAGTGAATTGGAATTGAGCGAGGGCAATGCTGACGCAATTGTTAGGCTTTACCCTAGCTTTCCTCCGAGAGAGTACGACTGGTGGGTGAAGCGCTAGTCAGAGTAGTGTTAGACTCTGTCAGAGAGGCGCACGAGTGAGAGGAGAGAATGACGAGCACCGGACACAGCACAAGAAGAGCTGGGCACAAGAAGAAGCTGTCGGACAAGGAGAGTGAATGCTCGGGCCAGAATTCTCTGCCGACACGGCTCTTTGATGAATTCTATCTACTGTATATATTCTCTTTTTATGCCTACCTGTATTAGAAAGCTTACAACTATTTGTATATATAATGTGTATATCATCTATATACATGCATCATCTCTACCTCGCCTCCTATATGTCTAAATCTTCATGTACAAATACCTTGTTTCCTCCACCACCTAAGTATTCTCCTACAATGTGTCCATCACCCTTCAATTGGTACTGATAACTCATTAACCCCTCCAAGCCCACAGGTCCTCTCGCATGGATCTTGTTGGTACTGATACCGACCTCGGTACCAAATCCGTATCTGAACCCGTCAGCAAATCTGGTGGAACAGTTCCAATATATACCTGCCGAATCGATCCCTCCCAAGAACTTGTCCGCCTTCTCCTTGCTCTCGGTAATAATACATTCGGTGTGCTTGGACGAGTGCGTGTTGATGTGTTTAATGGCGTCTTCAGTAGAGTGGACGAACGTCACAGATATGTCGAGAGATAAGTACTCCTTATCGAAGGAGTCAGCAACAGTATCCTTTATAAAGGCAGCGTTTTGCTCTAATATCGATGACCTTATCAACAGCTTCACTTCTGGGGTGACGTGGATAGTAATCTTAGCTTCAACTAGCGCCGCCAAGATCTCGTTGAGTGAAGCTTCGTCAATGGATGAATTCACTAAAAGTTGCTCGGCTGCGTTACAGCCAGCCGGGTAGTTGGTTTTCAGGTCGATGATGACCCTCTTGGCCTTCTCCATGTCGAACTCATTATCGACATAGATGGAGCAGATTCCATCGGCGTGGCCCAATACTGGGATCTTGGTGTTGTCTTTGATGTTACGCACCAACTCGTTGGATCCTCTTGGAATGACTAAGTCAATGTATCTGTCCTGCAGTAAGAGACCACTGACTTCGTCTCTTGACTGGATCAATTGCACGGCCAATCCAGGGACGTCGGTCTCCTGGGCTAAGGTCGAGTTCACAATGTCACTCATCACCTTGAAGGTCTCGTAGGACTCCTTACCACCTTTCAAAATGGCAGCGTTTCCTGATTTGATTGCTAATGCCGTAATATTGGCAATGACTTCAGGTCTAGACTCAAAAATAATCAACAAAACTCCGATTGGAGCGGTCACTCTGTACAAGTTCAATCCTTCGTCCAATTTCCTGGCAAGTGTGCACTTGCCTACTGGGTCTGGCAAGTCAGCTACGTCCAAAATCCCTTGCAACATGGTGTCAAACTTCCCGCTATTGGAGAGATCCAATCTCTTTACCAAGGAAGACGACAAATTCGAAGCAATAGCGTTATCCATATCCTTCTTGTTGGCAACCAAGATTTCGTCCTTCTGCTTCAAAAGGTTGACATGGATCTTCTGAAGGGCAGTCGATCTTTGGTCATTCGAAAGTGTTTTCAACGAAGCGAACGCGTTAGCTGCGTCTCTAGCAATCTGCTCTGCCATACTGTGAAGCTCTAAAGTTAAATTTCAAGCCGATTGGTACCCTTTTCCACCCTCTAGCTCTTCAACAGTGCCCGTTCTCCCTCCATCTTGAAGAGCGTTAGTCATGACTCAATTTTTCATTCCTGCATGTACGCTGCAATCTATACATGGACCTGCATATTATACGATCTGATGCGTTTTTCACATTTTGATACGATGGTCCTGCACACAGTCAAGGTCAACCAAAATAAACCGAACATGCGCCTCACAACGAGACACGATGTAACTACCAGACGAGTGACGTGAAACACTGAAGAAAACGCTTCATATCAGTGGAAAACAAGGTAGCAGCAACTAGTAACAACCGGTCGAGATATTGGACAGCACAATTTCTCAATACAAGTGCAGCCTGCTGAACAATTACACCATCGTCAGAGCTCTTTTACCACATACGTAAGCCTACTTTAGGCTCAGCCCAAGCTTCTTACTACGACTTCTCTGGACACTTCATTTATCATACTTAGTCATGTCGTACCAACCGTACAATCCCAATGGGCATGGCTCCAACGCGAACAGCGACCCCTTTGAAGATAGCCACCACTCCAACCTCATCGATTTGGATGCGAGAGAGAACCCCTATGGGGGCGACGTACAGCGAGCCGATGGATCCACGCCATACTCTCCGTTCAACCCATCCACTACAAATAACCACCTAACGACCCCGAATCCGTTCAACGACGACTTCAACATCTCAGACGAGGATTTCGACTACGATCAGGACACTTCTGACTACAACATCCATGGCCAGGCGCAACGTCGTCAGGTGCCTCTCTTGAACACAGACAACCAGTCCAAGCAGAACGGCGGCGGGTTGTTTGGCAGATTCAACAACAATAACGACGGCATGTATACCGGAATGAACGATACTAGCAGGAATGATGGAAGCTCAGACTTTGATATTCGTAAGATCTGGCGTAAATCCACCTCAATCTTTAGAAGGAAGAAGCAGACACAGGCAGAGATCGATGCAGCATTGGCATTGAAGGGCCCAAGACAGATTTATATCATGAATCAGCTGCTCAACTCTTCCTCCGGCTTCTATGGCAACTACATATCCACAACCAAGTATAACTTTGCCACTTTCATACCCAAGTTTCTCTTCGAACAGTTCAGTAAGTATGCTAACTTGTTCTTCCTTTTCACGTCTATTATCCAGCAGGTGCCTAACGTTTCGCCAACGAACAGATACACCACAATAGGGACGTTGTCCATTGTGTTGCTTGTCTCTGCCATCAAGGAGGTGCTGGAGGACTTAAAGAGAGCAGGTGCAGATAGCGAATTGAACAACACCAAGGTGCTAGTGTTGAACCCAGACGATGGCACGTTCCATCTAAAGAAGTGGATTCAAGTTCAAGTTGGTGACATTGTGAAAGTTGCCAATGAAGAACCTTTCCCCGCGGATCTATTGATCTTGAGTTCTTCAGAACCCGAAGGGTTGTGCTACATTGAGACTGCAAACTTAGACGGTGAGACTAACTTGAAGATCAAGCAAGCGAAACCAGAAACTGCATACTTGGTCAACCCAAGAGACATTGTTTCCGATTTATCAAGACTGGAAGTTATGTCCGAACAACCAAATAGTTCCTTGTATACGTATGAGGGAAACTTGAAAGGCTTAGGCTCAGCTGGTGATATTCCCTTCACTCCTGACCAGTTGTTACTTAGAGGTGCAACATTAAGAAACACCCAATGGATTCACGGTGTTGTAATTTTCACTGGGCATGAAACCAAATTGATGAGAAATGCCACCGCTACCCCAATTAAGAGGACAGATGTGGAAAGAATTATAAACCTTCAAATTGTTGCCCTTTTCCTCATCTTGATTACTTTATCGTTAATCTCCACTATTGGAAATGTCATCAAGATCAGTGTCGATAGTAAAAACTTGAGCTACCTTATGCTTTCAGGCACCAATAAAGTTTCGCTTTTCTTTTTAGACTTATTGACCTACTGGATTTTGTTCTCCAATTTGGTCCCAATCTCATTATTCGTTACTGTTGAAATAATCAAATATTATCAGGCATATATGATTGGTAGTGATTTGGATATGTACTATGAAGAGACTGATACACCAACAGGTGTGAGAACATCTTCATTGGTTGAAGAATTAGGACAAATTGACTACATTTTCAGCGATAAGACTGGTACATTAACTAGAAACATTATGGAATTTAAAAGTTGTACCATTGGTGGTAAATGTTATATTGAAGAGATACCGGAAGATGGACAAGTGCAATTAATGGATGATGGAATTGAAATTGGATTTTATAGCTTTAAAGATTTGGAGAATCATTTAAAGGATACCAAACTGCAACAATCGGCTATAATCAATGAATTTTTTACTTTGTTAAGTACTTGTCATACAGTTATACCAGAAATTAATGAATTTGACGGCAGTATGAAGTATCAGGCCGCTTCTCCCGATGAAGGGGCGCTCGTCCAAGGTGCTGCTGATAGAGGTTATAAGTTCATCATTCGTAGGCCAAAGAGTGTTACTATTGAAAGCAAGCTAACTGAACTACAATCTGAATATGAATTGTTGAATATTTGTGAATTCAATTCAACTAGAAAGAGAATGTCAGCAATTTTTAGATGCCCAGATGGAGTTATTAGATTGTTCTGCAAAGGTGCCGATACTGTTATCTTAGAGAGATTGAGCACAAGTGAGGAGCAGCCATTTGTAGAAGCTACCTTGCGTCATTTGGAAGATTTTGCCTCGGAAGGGTTAAGAACTTTATGTATTGCTTCGAAAATTATCCCTGAAGAGGAATACGCTTCATGGCTGAAGAAGTATCATGAAGCGTCTATCTCTTTAGATAACAGAAGTGATAAATTAGATGAAGTTGCCAATTTGATTGAAGGTGAATTATTTTTGCTTGGTGCCACAGCTATTGAAGATAAATTGCAAGACGGTGTCCCTGAAACAATCCACACCTTACAAGATGCTGGAATCAAGGTATGGGTCCTTACTGGTGACAGACAAGAAACTGCCATAAACATTGGTATGTCTTGTAAGCTACTTTCTGAAGACATGAATTTATTAATTATCAATGAATCAAATAAGCAGGACACGAAATTGAATTTGCAGGAGAAGTTAGAAGCAATCCATGAGCATCAATTTGATGACCAGGATGTCACTTTAGACAGTTCTTTGGCTTTAATTATCGATGGTACGTCCTTAGCTTACGCATTAGAACCTGAATTAGAAGATTTATTCATTCAATTGGGAACCAGATGCAAGGCAGTTATTTGCTGTCGTGTTTCGCCATTGCAAAAGGCATTGGTTGTAAAGATGGTTAAGAGAAAGAAGAAGAATTCCTTATTGTTGGCAATTGGTGATGGAGCCAACGACGTTTCCATGATTCAAGCCGCACATGTTGGAGTTGGAATCAGTGGGATGGAAGGTATGCAAGCTGCAAGAAGTGCTGATATTTCCATTGGTCAATTCAAGTATTTGAAGAAATTGTTATTGGTACATGGGGCTTGGTCTTATCAGAGAATTTCTAATGCCATTTTGTACTCTTTCTACAAGAACATTGCCTTGTACATGACCCAATTTTGGTTCGTTTTCACCAATTGTTTTTCTGGTCAATCTATCATGGAATCGTGGACCTTGACGTTGTATAATGTTTTGTTTACAGTATTTCCTCCGTTTGTTATGGGAGTTTTTGATCAGTTTGTGAGCGCCAGGTTGTTAGATCGTTACCCACAATTGTACCAATTAGGTCAACAAAAGAAATTCTTCAATCAGAAGATCTTTTGGGGATGGGTTCTCAATGGGTTTTACCATTCGGGTTTGATTTTCTTGTGCTCTTTCTTCATTTATCATCATGGGGATGAACTTTCTGATGCCTTGGTTGCAAACAATTGGACATGGGGTACCACAATTTTCACTACATGTACGTTGACTACCTTAGGTAAGGCAGGATTGGTGGTCACTATGTGGACCAAATTTACCCTTTTCGCTATTCCGGGATCGTTCCTCTTCTGGTTGGTATGGTTCCCATTCTATGCGACAGTTGCTCCATTAGTCAATGTTTCCAAGGAATATATTGGTGTTTTGAATACCACCTACACCTCGCTTACATTCTGGGCAATGGTATTCGGGGTTGCTTCTTTATGTTTGTTGAGAGACATTGCATGGAAATTTTTTAAAAGGAGTTACAGCCCAGAACTGTATCACTATGTTCAAGAAATGCAAAAGTACAACATTCAAGATTACAGACCTAGAATGGAACAATTTCAGAAGGCAATTAGAAAAGTTAGACAAGTTCAAAGAATTAAGAAACAAAGAGGGTTTGCATTCTCGCAAGTTGAGAATCAGGACCAGGAGAAGATCGTTAGATTGTATGATACGACTAAGAAGAGAGGGGCATTTGGAGAGCTCTCAGAGGGGATTTAAAAAAAAATTAAACAAGGTGATGAATACAATATTTCATTTACTTTTATTCAGCATTCAAGAATCAATACGTACAGTATTATACTATATACTATATAATATTAATAAAGACATATCAAAAATGAAAATTAAGACATGGCATAAATTCCACCAAAAGGAAGTTATATGCCTGTAACGCTAGTGAGAACTAGACCTCTAGCGTACCTACTCATATCTCATGTACATCAGTAGTCAGTAGACCACCACCAACACCGTACACTGTACTACTCCATACCCTTTATTTTATTCCTGCACATAGCCCAACATCGGAGTGAGTAACGATTTTTTTTTTATGGAGTCGGTGAAGTCATCATTGATCTAAGTGCCTGCTTATTACACCAGTGAAATCATCAATATACCTTGCAAATGAGTGCTGTCGCTGAGAAAGCAGACACCAAGGACCAACCGGTCAAGCAAGTGAAAAAACCAGAAGCTTCCAGTGCAGAGGGTACCAAGAAGTTATCAGGGAAGGAGTTAAAGGAATTGAAAAAATTGGAGAAGGCTGCGAAGAGAGCTGCTCTGAAAGAAGCAAGTGGTATTACTCCAGAAGAACAAAAGCAGATTGCAGAGCAGAAGAAGCAAAAAGCCAAAGAAGCTGCCGCAGCAGCGGCAGCAGCAGCTCAAGCCCATGCAACGAACACGAACCTCAAGAAACAACTCAACCAAACATTGATCAAGGACAAGGCGGCACAGAAAAAGATTCCGGCGTTGTTCAGTCATTTGGAGACCAGAGAACAAAGAAATGCCTCTTCTCCTTCGATCTCCCACATTGTTCATCCAGAAATTCTAACCCTCACGTTAAAATACTCCACCTACAAGATTGTGGGATCTATGCCGCGTTTGACAGCCATGATGAAAGCGTTCAAGATCGTGATCCGTGACTACGAAACTCCTGCTAACACCACGTTAACTAGAAACTTGACAGGCCATTTATCGCACCAAATCGAGTATTTGAAATCTGCTAGACCATTGTCCATCTCCATGGGTAACGCTATCAGGTGGTTGAAGCAAGAAATCTCCGTCATATCGATCGATACATCAGACGAAATGGCCAAGGAGATCTTATGTGAGAAGATCAACGACTTCATCAGAGAAAAGATCGAATTGAGTGATCAGTTAATTATTCAATATGCATCTAAGCATATTACTGAAGGTTCAACTATCTTGACCTTTGGACACTCGCAGGTGTTGGAAGAATTGTTCAAGTACTGCGCTAGAGAGCAAGGGAAGAAGTTCAACTTGATCATTGTAGACTCCAGACCATTGTTTGAAGGAAAGAAGTTATTGCACAATTTAATTGATACCACTATTGGCGACGATACCTATGGTCAAGTTCCCATCACGAAAGACCACATTAGAGTACAGTACACTCTTGTATATTCCTTATCCTCCACCATATTGGAGGATGTGGATTGTATATTTGTAGGGGCAGCAGCCATGCTTTCCAACGGACGTCTTTATTCCAGAGTAGGGACAGGATTAATTGCCATGATGGCTCACTCCAGAAATATCCCTGTGTTGACTTGTTGTGAGTCGATTAAGTTCTCTGATAAGGTTCAGTTGGACTCGGTGACTACCAACGAACTCGCGGACAGCGATGATTTAGCGCAAGATCAAGATTTGAAGAAACCACCACAAAAGAAGTCGTTTGCCTTGGAGCAATTCTTGAAAGCAAAGAAAGAAGCTGCTTCTGATGAAACTAATAACAACAACAGCACAAATACAAACAAGAACAAGCAGCAGCAGCAGAAGCAGAAGCAGCAACAGCAGCAGAAGGATGAAGAGAACAAGGCCGATGAGGAGCCTGATGTGCCACTTAAAGACTGGCGTACCACTCCTAATCTCAATATATTGAACATTATGTATGATCTTACACCACCAGAGTACATCAACAAAGTTGTTACTGAATTGGGTGCCTTACCTCCATCATCTGTTCCAGTCATTTTGAGAGAGTATAAGAATACTTAGATTATTAGAGTATATAGCAAAAATAATAGATGCATTAATATATTAAGGCGTAGGACTGGCGAGCTGTGTGGGTGAGGAGCAGAAATAGAAAGAAACCTAGATCGAGCTGTTTCATTGTTGTTCTTAGTTGTGGTTTTCACCTTTCCAATTGAGCCGAGCAAAGTTCTTGGAACTCAGGTGGATAGCATTGCAAGTCCCCAGCGCCATGTACATGCTAAGCTTCCTACATTCCATATAAAGTTGGCGAAACCGTGAGTGAGTCTTTGAGTACTGCTCTAGTCTGCATTCTATGAAGAGCAGTCCGATCCCTTCTAAGCCATCAATCTTGTCTCATCCCCTCCCCCCGACCAATCTCTCATCGCCTTCTCTTCTCTTGTCGCAGTTTTCGCAGCCACCCACACAAGCAGTGAGTCTTCCATTCTGGCCCAGAGCTGCATTCCAGCCAGTCGTGCCTCCTCTCAATCTCTCATTCCTTTCCAATTCTCTCTAGCTTCTCTCTCACCCCTCTTCAGCCAGTCTCTCACCCTCCAACCAGTCTCTCATCCCCCTCCAATCAGTTTCTCATCGCCTTCGGTCGCAGTTTCGCAGCCATTCGTATTTTTCATGCTCGCCCAATTCGGAAATTCGTTAGGCTTGACATGAATCGCATTTGTAAGAAATTGCCACAAGATTCTTCAAGACGGTCTTCTTGTGGTTAGAGCAAATATGGAATCGGAATTGGCCTTGATCGACAAGGTTGAACTTCGAATTGCATTGGCTTCGAACGATGCGCAATTTGAAAATTCATTGAAGGTATATCTCGCGCCGTTGTTGTTGAAGTTGGCAAGTCCTTATAGCCAGGTGAGACAAGCGATATTGAAGATTATCCAGAACGTAATTCCCAGAATAACTGCTGCCAGGACCGTTAAGTTACCTGTAGAACTGTTGTTGGACCAGGTGAAGAACCCCAAGATTGCTGAGGGTCAGGATCCGGCGCAGGTGAGATTGTATTCGTTGTTGTTCATATCCAGAGGTATTGAGAGGTTGGACCAACAGTCCAAGGAACAATTGATTCCGAAGGTACTTGAAGGCATTCATAAGTTTACAAGTAACGTTTCGGCTAGATTATTTAATATATTCTGTAAGTTGCTAGTAGATGTGAAGTATAAAGTAGAAGTTCACGAGTCAGACGACGGCGACGCTACAAAGGACTTGGTTCAGAACGACGACGATAAGGCATTCATTTGTCAATGTATTGCAAAATTCTTCTTATTACAGCCAATCGTGGAACCTGTCATATTGCCTGGGTTGACTCTTCGGGATACTTCATTTTTGACCAGAGATGCTGGTGTTCTGTACAAAACTCAGCAAGAAATCACTCAGGTGAAAGTTGTATTGTTGGAGTTCTTGAAAACTGGCCAGTCCACAAAGACTCCATTGTTTAGTGCAACTAACTTGAGGATCCCTCTATTAATTGCAAGCTCTGATTCTTCTCTGTCAATAAAGGATCCCTCTGAAGTCATATTTAAGAAGGTGGCCCTAGACTATGAGGATAAGGAATTCGTTGATACTTTGTTTAAATTACTTATCGGTGGCGAAGGATTCCCTCCAGTGAAATCTACTTTGCAAGAGCTCGTATTGACTGTTTTGTTGAAAAGTAAATATGCTACTACTCATCCAGATATAGGTAAAGTAGCACAAATTGGGTTTGGATCTGAAAATACGAGGTTGAAGCAGATCACTGTACAATTTATCCGCTGGGTTAGTAGAGAAGGTGGAAATACGAAGGAAGGTAGCCATAGTATACAATTTGCAAGTGAAATGGGCGAGCAGTTGAAGCAGCTTTTGCTTAACGAAGGGTGGCCCAAATTGGACACCTCCGTGGTGAAAAACTACGTGAATACCATTGCTCAACGTCAACTGCAATATGAAGCTTTAGGGGAACTTATAAAATTGAACCCCGACCTAATTAATTCGAATTTGCATTCGAACGCACCGGGCTTACTGTATGTCGAATTTTTTTTCCAATCTTTAGAAGGAGATGAAGTAGAGTTAAGATCAACCATTCAAGATGCACTTTCGGGCTTAACAGTGCATTTGCCCAATTTACTGAAAGAGTCCAAAGATTATCTTAAAAAAATTTTGAAGAAGTACTTAGCTACATCTAAGATTACTGAAAGCTTGCAATCATGCCGTTATATAGCTATCAAATACATCAATTGTTGCTTCCCTTTCAGTGATGCAGAAGCAAGGTATTTGTGTATATTAGGAACCAATAAGGAAAATCGCTCAGACACTATCGAAGAATCCTTGAAAGGATTGAACCCTCATTGGTTCAATATTTTGCAGTCTTCTAACACTTTGGAATTCAAGTCCACCCTGGAGCTATTAGGAACTAGTGGAAACACACTCCAATTTCCTGATTTCAAAGATATGGTCTCAACAGTACAACTTGCGTATGAAGTTGATGACAATGTGAACTTATTGGGGTCAATGGGCCAAGCAGTGAGATTTATATTGTACACACTAGTAATGAAATCGATCCAAGGAAAATCTACAGTTATTGTCATAGATGATGAATGGAGTACAAGGTTAGAAAAAGCCATAGAAGTTGACCCAACGGTTCAAAATTGCTTGAGGGATGAAATTTCAAAAGTCTCAAATGAGGATGTAGACATGGGCATAGAGAACTCGTCAGAAATTGATAACACCTTCATTTCTTTCTTGAATCTTATCTTCAAAGCATTTGCTGGTCAATACGTCAATTCAGGAATCGTGTCAGATATTATATTTGGATCAAGCTTTTCAAGATTACTCTCCTTGTCACCAAACGATGTTGTTTCAAAATTGGCATCATCTGATATCCTTGACGAATCATTAGATTTGTTATTCTCAAAGCTGTTGAACGAAATTTCCTTGAGTCAGTTATCTCAAACTATTGGTATTATTGGAAGTATTGCTTCTGATGATAAAGTCAAATCAACTTTCGAAAAATTGAGCATTGAAATTGCCAGCGCAAATACTAGTTCTTCGAAATACTTACTTAGATCTAAATTAATTGCAAGTAGTTATCTTATATCAAGAATGTGTGCCAGAAATAGGGCTGAGCTTATATCCAATAGCCTTCTTGAGTCTCATTTATCTACAATCTTGAAGTTCATTGAAGATTCTCACACGTATTCATTAGCATTGGACTGTGTATCACAACTATCAATATTTGGAGTACTCGGGCCAAAATTAAATCAAGTTTCTTCCATTGAAGAATTAACCCAGAAAATAAAAGACGAGATACTTAAAAAGGTTAAAAAATGTGATGAAAAGGCTGTTATTGCATTAGCACATCTCTCTTTGAGTATGAAGCCTTCTTTTACGGAGACTATAGCTGATGGGACTGATGTCCTGGAGTTAACTTCTTTCGAGCAAGCTGTTTACGATACTCATATTTCGAAGCAGACAGAGTTCACTTTCTCTTCCGGGGAAGCATTCGCAATATTGGCAGCTGGGTGGAAATCTACTATTTTGAAAAGACAACTTGATATTTGTGATGAAACTTCAATGCAAAATATAACTGAATTGATCCCTGAGGATACGTCAAGGTTACCTGTGATTTTGGATCTAGTACTTAAGTCTTGTGCTAATACTAAACCTTCTTTGAGAAGGGCGGGATGCATATGGTTGCTATCTTTAGTGCAATTTGTTGGCCATTTAGAGCCTATCAAGAACAGTGCTGCTAAGATTCATGTCTCCTTTATGAGATTCTTAGCTGATAGAGATGAATTGATCCAGGAACTGGCCTCCCGTGGGCTCAGTATTGTTTATGAAATGGGAGATTATGATTTAAAAGATACTTTGGTTAAAGGTTTATTGAAATCTTTCACTGATACGACCTCTACTTCTGGATTAGCTGCTGGTTCTGTCGACCATGAAACCGAATTGTTTGACCCAGATGTCTTGAAGACTGGAGACGGTTCCGTCTCTACCTATAAAGATGTCTTAAACTTAGCTTCGGACGTTGGAGATCCAAGTTTGGTCTATAAATTTATGTCGTTAGCTAAGTCTTCTGCGCTTTGGTCTTCTAGAAAAGGTATGGCTTTCGGATTGGGTTCAATCTTGTCGAAAACTTCTTTAGATGAGATGTTGGTTACCAATAATAAATTGGCAACAAGATTGATTCCAAAGCTTTATAGATATAAGTTCGATCCAAGTACGGCAGTCGCTAAATCGATGCAAGATATTTGGAATGTCCTCATAAAAGATTCTTCAAAAACTATTAACGATCATTTTGATAATATTTTACAAGAGTTGTTAAAAAGTATGGGAAATAAGGAGTGGAGAGTTAGACAGGCACTGACGACTGCCATGATCGATTTATTACAAGTCGTGACTTTAGAGCTTTATGAATCCAAACTAGAAGAAATTTGGAACATGAGTTTTAGAGTTATGGATGACATAAAAGAAAGTGTTAGGAAAGAAGGTAACAAGCTTACGAAGTCTTTGGCAAGTACAATCACTAGAAGAATTGAACTCAGTAGTAAAAATAAGGGAGGTGCTAAATCAGACGCAAAAAGTAGTGAATTTTTACAGAGTCTCATTCCGTTCTTATTAGGAACTAAGGGTCTTCTCAGTGATGCTGAAGACATTAGAAATTTTGCCTTAGAGACTATATTAAAGCTTGTTAAGGTTGGAGGGTCCACTATCAAACCATTCATCCCTGAGTTGATTGATAATTTCATTAATCTAATGTCTACTCTAGAACCCCAAATTGTCAATTATCTTGTGCTAAATGCTGACAAGTACAATTTGAAAAATGATGATATTGATGCAAAACGTTTGCAAAGTGTTGGTCAATCTCCAATGATGGATGCAATTGAAAAAATGCTTGATCAATTAGACGACTCCATGATGTCTACTTTCATCGTGAAATTACAACATTCTATCAAAAAATCAATTGGATTGCCGCTGAAAGTCTGTGGTAGTAAAGTGTTAGTTTCTTTAGTCACGAGGCATTTGCAGTTGATCAAACCATATGGGGATAAGTTATTGAAGATTTGTGTGAATCAGATTAACGACAAGAATGATGCCATTGCCTCTTCATATGCCGCTGCTGCAGGTTATTTGTGCCGTATTTGCTCCACAACAGCGATAGGCAACTACTCTGAAACATTAAGAAAGCTTTACTTTGAGTTTGAAAATGACAGAAACAGAATAGTGAGTTCGATTGCAAGTGAAAGTGTGGCAAAGTATTCGAAGGACAAGTTCGAATCTATCGCCAGCTCGTTCTTACCATTGGCCTTCATAGGTAAGCATGATTCTATCGAGGTTGTCAAGAGAAATTTTGATAGGGAATGGATTGAAAATACTTCAGGAAATCTGTCTATCAAGCTCTATATGAAAGAAATTATTGAATTGTCTCTGTCTTACTTGAACAATTCAAGGCTGTACGAAGTTAGACAAATTCTTGCTAAAACAATCGCTGATATGGTTAACAACATTGACAGTACACATGAGTTCTCAGATAGCACTCGTTTGCAATTATTCGAATTATTATTGGAAGGAAGCAAGGGGAAATCATGGTCTGGGAAAGAGTTCATTGTGGAAGCATTAATTCTATTCTCTGTCAAGTGTAAGACCTTTTTATTGAGTGAACTGCAAGGACCACTTAATGAAAAGATCGAAAAGACCATTATTGTGGAAATTAAGAGAAGAAACAAAGTCTACCAGAAGCAAGTAATCAAGCTAGCTAGTAAATACATCTACAATTTCAATCTGAGGGATTTGATTGAAGTATACATTGATATCATGGAGGAATTGATATCTGACAAGGACGATACTGAAGATGATTCAGATAATGACTCAGACGCCATGGACATAGACAGTAAAAAGCCTGGTAATTCGGTTAAAATTGAGGAAAAGAGGTTGAATTTTATTGTAAGCTTGTTTGATTCATTTAACCCTCAAATTCAGGATCATGGTGACGATAAGTTGGGAATGCTAGTCTTTGGTTCCATCAAGAAGTTGTTCGAATCTGAAGAAGTTAGCAATTCTTGGAGATCTAAGTTGACCAGTTGTGAAAATATACTGAAAGTCATTACGAAATCTAAAGATTACTTGACCCCCACACTAATTGATTATATTTTTGAACTATGGTTAATTCTTTCCAAGAACTGCTTAGGACCAAAAGAGATAGAGAATATCAAGGTCAATTTCGTCAGACTTTCTAGTTTGGTAATTGATTTAGTTAATGATGAGAAGGCTAGTGCTATAAAGCAAACCTTACTCGAATTCAAAGAAAGAGAAAGCTCAAACGTCGTGTTAACAGAATTAAGTAAGATTATATAGACTTACAAAAGCTTACAAGTTAAATATTTCAAAGAAAAAAATGTATATTTAGATTAGATTCAAATACAAATATCCTAGAAACCACCTCTTAATCTTAAGACCAAGTGTAAGGTAGATTCCTTTTGAATGTTGTAGTCAGATAAAGTTCTGCCATCTTCTAATTGCTTACCAGCAAAAATTAATCTTTGTTGGTCAGGTGGAATACCTTCCTTATCTTGGATCTTGGACTTGACATTATCAATGGTGTCAGAAGATTCGACTTCTAAAGTGATAGTCTTACCGGTCAAGGTCTTGACGAAGATTTGCATACCACCTCTCAATCTCAAGACTAAGTGTAATGTG